TAAGAAAAAATGTAATTAATGAATTAATAAAACAAATTCCAAACTCCTTTTCAGAAGTGAAGGAGAAAGTCAGGGACCTGATAAGGTTAACAGTGATATGTAGTAACCAAATCCCACTAAACCTGAGTTCCATGAGGCAGGGACTTTTGTGCTGACTATGTTATCCCTCAGAGCCTGGCATTTATTAGAAATTCAATACGTTATTTGTTGAATGAGTACATCAATTTTGTTTTCGCCTATAGACTTTGGGCCCTAACTTACATTCTTTCTACTCCAAAGTGGGTTTATCACTTGACTAATACTATAAATAATAGTATTTATAGTATTCTACCCCTATTCTTTTTTTTTAAGATTTTATTTTTAAGTAATCTCTACACCCAACATGGGGCTCAGGCTCACAACCCAGAGATCAAGAGTCGCATGCTTCACCAACTGAACCAGCCAGGCACCCCAGAAAGCCTATGTTCTTATGTCCTCTGACCAAGAGTCAGTTTTCAAAATAATCAACAAGGAGTGAAAAAATATAAAGCCGCTAAGTTAAAGGCTTACAGAGGGACATGCTTCAGAAGTAGGAGTGAGGGGTCCTTGTTTCTCTTTAGGAGTGAGTAGGGGGTGTGATATAATCCCTGGAACAGAGAGCTAGGACTGCGATCTGGTCAGAGCCACTGCAGAGGAGCAGAAATGGACAATTTGGAATGTGTCTGCTCCCTCTAGGTGTGTGGGCATTCGTTCATCAGCATGGGTTTTTTGTTTTTGTTTTTTTAATTCATTTGAGACACAGAGATACAGAGAGAGAGAGAGCATGAGCAGAGGGAGAGAGAAGGAGGGGGAGAAGCAGGCTCCCTGCTGAGCATGGAGCCTGATGTGGGGCTCGATCCCAGGACCCTGGGATCGTGACCTGAGCCTAAGGCAGATGCTTAACCATCTGAGCCACCCAGGCGCCCCAGCATGGGTTTGTTAATGAACCAGATTGTTAATTCAAAAAAAATCCACTCCCTATTACCTCCAAATCTCCTCCATGCAGGATAAATTGGGGGCATATCAACATTCCTCATGGGAGGCATCAGTGTAGTAAATCTTTTTAATACACACCCCTCAGTATGTGCCCATATTCTAATTTTATTTTGATATTCACCAGCCTACCCCTTACTGGGCTTCTCATTGCAGATTTTTAGGCCTCAATATAGCACTTGATTTTTGTGGCTGAAGAGTATACTTCAGCTTGGTAACTTTTGACAAAAATTCACCTAAAGTAAGAGCTGACTTCTGGATAGCTTAGAATGGAGTCCCCTGAACCAAGTCATTCTTTTGTCACAGACTGTACAACCTTTGTTATTCCTCGCTTAAAGGGGGAAAATGTAAAGGGAGTATAAAACATTTCTCTGCTGGATGTAGCAACTCTTTGTATATGAATTCCTGATCAGGCAAAGTTCAAGTGCTGCTTAAATAATAGAACCTAGATGAGCTACTATTTAATTATCTGTGAGGAATATATTGATTTTTTCCCCCTACAGATCATTATGTTAAACTCTGTGTCTGACCTTCATGGCTACATTGACAAAAGCCAACTGACAGAGGACTTAGGGGGAACTTTGGAATACCGCCATAATCAATGGATAAATCATCGAACTGTGAGTACCAATTTACATGGCCTTTATGTTGTCTCTCCTTGTTTTCCAGAAGACAGGGCAGTTAAAGATTAACTGTTGGGTGGTCATTGCCCATGACCACCTAACATTGGGATGGTTGGATTTTCTAAGCCACAGGTAGTGGAGAAATGGGGTGGAAGGGAAGGGGCTCTGACTTGTCCTACTATCTACCTTTGCCTCACCTCATCATCTGGCATAGGGTTTTGGGGAGACTTGATTTAGAATGCACCTGGGGAGTTTTCAACATACCAGCACCCTGCTCTACCTCAGAGAAATTAATTTGCTTGATCAGGGTTGGGTCTCAGACATTAGCATTCCACACAACTTCCCAGATGATTCTAATGTACAGAAAGATAAAAACCCACCAAGTCAGAAGGAGCTGCGTTTACATATTGTCACAATTCTTATTGTCTGACCTTGGGTCAGTTATTAAACCTCTTTCAGGTTGTTTTCTCCCCTGTTAAAATGGAACTAACAGTGGTTTTCAGCTGAGGACAATTTTAGAAAGATTTTTTTGTAGTCATGATTTGGGAGGAGGCGAGTTATTGGCATCTAGTGGGTAGGAGGCAGGGATGCTGCTAAGCAGCTTATGCACAAGACAGCCCCCCACAATGAAGAATTGTCTGGTCCAAATGTCAATAGTGCCGATGATGAGAAACCTCAGACTAACAAAAGCTGCCTGAGAGTTTGATGTGAGACAAAGTGATGTAATGTGTGTGAAAGTACCTGACATATAGTATTTTACTTGACTCACTCATAGTAATGGTTATTATGCTAAATAACCAGAAGCATCAGTAATATGGAGGAAAAAGTGGGATTGAAACTCAAATAATAAGTGTTTCTGTATAAAGTTGCCATTCTCCTTTCTCCACTCTCATAGCCCCCAGACCCTCAAAATGACTAGGTTTTCTGAGCTGAGTCAGAAGCTCCCTCACCACCCCAGGGACAACTTGTGGTGTCAGCCCCCTTCTCTCTGTATCAGGTAACTTTGGAAACCTGTTGCCCAACACTTACCAATAAACACCTGAAGGACATTTAATTAGGTAGGAGAATTTACTCTCCTTTAGAGTGTAAAGCTTTGTGATTTTTTTTTAAAAAAAAGGTAATTTAAGAACTAAACAAAAATAGATTTCTAGCAAAAGTGCATTTATTTCAAAGCTACAGATTCTAATCCTTCCGTCACTTCTTTGTATGCTATGTAATTCTAAGGAAGACATGACCCTTCCCAAAACCTAGTGGAAGACCCACAACCTGGGCATGAACCCTTTAAACTTCTCATCAGTTTTACCACAATAACAGTGACTGCAAGAGAACTCTTGAGAATGAAAAAAGGAATGGTGAAGTTCTTCACAAACATATTCCCACTAGGTCTAAACAGAAAAGATATGGAGGGAAGTTTATGTAGAATATCACACACAAATAAGTGTGGTCAGGGTTGTCCTGTGTTGCAATTTCATTAAACCATATGAAAAATGAACCTGGAGGGCTTCCAGGCTTTATTTTTTCACTTCCTAGGGTTTTATTATGTTACTTTAATAATCAGAAGAATTTACTGTCCTGCTAGCCTTATTTGGCCTAGCTAGCTCTCCCTTTTGCTCTAACTTCTCTACCAGTCCTTTGTTTTATTATGTTATTAATGTTTTTCAAGTTGCCTCAGATCTTTTTTGAAATAACACAAATTTGCCCCAAATGAATAAAGAAAAAAACCAAATGCACCTTGACATCAAAGATAAAAATAGTTCTCTGAGAACTTAGGTAAAGAAGACAGAAACCATGAACATAGATTTTTTAAAGACATGGCCTGAGCAAACAGGTGCACACACCTTCCAACCCCAGGCCTAGTTTGTATCCATGGTTTGTATTTGTACATGTGTTAATCACATTATAGTGAACTTTAAAAAATACAACTAGTATTGAAACATCAGACATATTTTTATATGCCTTTTGTATGTTTTATGTATATATTTTATATACACATATATAATTAGAACTATAATAATATACATATACATATCATGTATATGTAATATATATAAGTCAGTTTTTGGGTAACAGTGTACTTTCTGGATGTCAGATCTTTGAGACTCATTAGAACTGAAAAGAACCTTAAAGATCATTTATTTCAATTACCTTATTTTACAGATAAGGAAACTGACCTTCAAAGTAAAGAAGTGATTTATCCAAGGTTATATGGTTGAGTAGTGGCAGAGCCAAGACTAAGGCCAAGCTCTTTCTCATCACCCTGTCAGCATCAGGTCCTCTATACCATTTCCAAGGTGACTGTTTGCTAGTCAGATACCTGGAATCAAGTTAATTTGTTAATAGGACTCTCCATAGGAAACCCCTGGCTTTCATCTCTCTCCAGGTTGACATCTGCAAGCCTTGCACCTGACTCTCAGAGTTGTTGCTGTTATTATTATTACACTCGTAAGGTACTCTGCTGTGCCCAAGTCCTTTCACATTTGCTATTCCTTTGATAGCAAAGGAATCACAGAGCAAAAAACCCTGCAAAAACAGAGCAACCATTATTCCCATTTTTCAAATGAAGACACTAGGACTCAGAGCAATACCAGGCTTATTCAAGATCACACAGTTAGAGAGCAGAATCTGGACTGTAATTCAAGTCTTAAACTCTCAAGCCAAGATCTTTCGTTGATCTAATTTTAAATCTAGTTTTGTTCAATCTAGTTTTTATTGCCAAGAGGTGGTATAGCATAGTGCTTAAGAGTGCTGGCCCTGGGTTTAATCCCAGTTCTGTCACTTGTTTTTTTTATATGACTTTGGGGGAAATTACTTAACCTTAATATGCTTCAGTTTCCTCATCTATAGAATGTGGTGATAGTAACCTAATTGAGATGCATTACAAGAAGTAGGGCATATTAAGCAAAGTACTTAATCTCATATTTTCTTATTATAAGTCCTCTGATAAATTGGATTTTTATGTTATTCAATAGAGGCTATTGGTAAATGAAGTTGAAAGAGTATCTTATACAGATATTAGATTATATAAAAGTAAATACATTTTGATGTGCTTGAAAGAAAGATTTTAAGTTAGTGTTTGTCTGACTTTCCAAGCCAAAAGTACTATGATGTTCAGGACAGCAGCTATATAAATACTTGTGCTAATAGGGGAGATTCCACCTACAGCAATACTTCAAGTATGAAAAGGGTTGATGGTGTAGGCGCCTGGCTGGTCCAGTCAGTAGAGTGTGTGACTCTAGATCTCAGGGTTGGAGGTCAAGCCCCACATTGGCTGTAGAGTTTACTTAAAAAAATGACTGATTGAGAATGACTTTGGGTTCAGACAGTTTGGGAGGTGTGCCATGCTCTGGAAGCCTCTATCATGCCAGCCTCAGCTCTGGCCCCTATTACAGAAAAGGGCTGGGCCACATCTGGCCCATTCTTTAGGATGTGCATTTGGGTTTTCAGAAATGTTCTCTGATTATGTAAGAGCAGAGGTAATTTTTTCTCAAATGAAAGTTAGGTTGGGCCTCTTTGTCACTACCTGTTATCTGTCTAGCAGCTGTTTATGGGCCACCTACTGTGTGATAGGCAGAGTACCATTTGCTGGTGGAACGGAGATGAATTGTAGTCACCCTTCGAGGGCAAAACTGTCTCAGGAGCAGAGGGAAATGGGCAAGGTAGAGCCAGTCTGGCTGACTAGAATGCTTTGTGAGATTCTGAAAAGCCACTTGCCTTTAACTATATCATCTACTGATGATAAGCATCACTTTTTCTAGGTTAGGACATGTGTTTATTGCTAAAATGCACTCTGCTAAATGCATATATCTCTTCTGGGATATTAGCTGTGAAGTTACTCATCAGTTAGTAGGTATTCATTTAATGGCAGAGTAGAGTCCTTAGTGGAAGGTAAATTTTTACAAAAGAGTGAGGGGCAGAGGTCCCCAGCTTCTCATCACATGTGACAAAAGTAACTCTCAGAAAGGTTACTAGTGATCTAAGCACCCTGTCCATCTTCTCCCTTGGGGTCAAACTTGTTTCCCAAACTTGGTGACATTGGTTGAATCCTGCTTTCTTTCCTTCCTTACTGCCCAAGTCATATGTTCTTGGGCAATTCACTTGACCTGTTGGAGGTTCAGTTCCCTCTACTGTAAAAATGGAGATAAGATACCTTCCACTCTAGATTGTTGACATGATAGACAAAGGTATAGCACCAGGTACAATGCATGGCCCATTGCAGGTACTCAGGAAATGGTAGCTCTTTCTACTATCCTTCTATTCAGAGAACATATTCGTGAATGTTAAGCTCTCCTCATTGTTATGATTGTCTGACCTTCCAGGCCATTGAAAACTTTGCCATGACATTGAAGACCACTGCCCAGATGCTCCAGATGTTTGGGGTCTGCCTAGCCACAACAGAGCTGCCCAGAGGTGTGCTGTCCACTGAAGACCTCCTCGTGTCCCACACGAGGCAGCGGGACAAGCTGCAGGTGAGTAGTCAGTGGCCTCTCACAGGCCAGCTTCTTGGAGGGAGCCAGGAGAAGAATTAGAAGTTAAGCCCCCTTCTTCCTCCTTCTCCAATGACTTGGCAGTGACTGATCACCTTAAACCTTCTAGATAGGCAGTATGTGAAGAGAAAAAAACCTCTTGAGACTGGTCGGTGAATGTAAGAGGATTGTAATTAAGACCTGTAAGAAGCAGCACCATAAAGGGAGACTCATTTCACCTTTGTGCTCTAGGAGAGGTGTTTGAGCATTGTTTCAAGGGCAGCACTCCTATGATCTGCTCAGGACAGAGCAAGATATAATGGATAAAACTGCAGTGAGGGGTGGGAGTTGGCGTTTGAGGCAGAAGCTTTCCTGAGGCTCTTGTGAAGTTTTGGGGCAAACTAATAAGCTGACATATTGCTTCACCTTCTCAGGGATATAATCTTTTTATTTGGGGAGTAATTTGAGAAAGAAGACATGGAAAGTGCTCTGAACTGGGTTTAAGGAGAGGCACCTATTAACTTCATAAAAGCACGTCAGAACCTAAGAACAGAGGTTGGCAGATTCTTTCAGATCATGCAGTAAAGGGAAGACTTCCTGGGGCTTACAGGATGGGCGTCAGCTCTTTTCTGCCTCCAGAAGCACAAATGGACCATATCCATTATTTCAGAGAAGACCAGAACTCCATAGGGCAGCAAGCTGAGGATTAGAAGGTGGATACATCTTAGCATTACATGTATTCTTGCTGCACAGAGCTTAGCAGGAGCTGACCTCTTTTATCTGTGGCCCCAAATTTACAAAAATGCTTTGCTAGGTGGTTGATTTGTTCATTTAGTCAACATTTATTGACGACCTACCCCTACATGCCAGGAAAACAAATGAAAAAAAAAGTAAACTCAAGGAACACATAGTTGAGTTAGGGGAGTCCCAGAGTCTAGTAGTTAAGGCAAATTAATTTTTCCATGTGTCAGGGAGCACTGTTACATCCTCTTCTTAAGGAGCTTGATATCCAAAAAGATTTCAAAATGTACTTTCTACACTACTCTGCATTATTAAAAGATCTGGTTTGAAACTGGGAAAACCTGAAAGCATCCTAGAAATTTTCCTGGGAAGTGTCTCTGACGAGCTTGACAGACACACACAACTTAGCACACCCGTCTTTTTTTTTTTTCATTATGTTACCACCATACAGTACATCATTAGGTTTTCTTTTTTTTAAAGATTTTATTTATTTATTTATTTGAGAGAGTGAGAATGAGAGAGAGAGAGAGCACATGAGAGGGGGGAGGGTCAGAGGGAGAAGCAGACTCCCCGCTGAGCAGGGAGCCCGATGCGGGACTCTATCCCGGGACTCTAGGATCGTGACCTGAGCCAAAGGCAGTCGCTTAACCAACTGAGCCACCCAGGCGCCCACATCATTAGGTTTTTGATGTAGTGTTCCATGATTCATTGTTAGCACACCTATCTTGTTCCTGTGTGTGCTTCTTACACATGGATGGAGACTCAGAGCACATCTTCAGAACATGTGCATGCAGGTGTCCCAGGCTCTTCTGCATATTGGGTCCTTCTCCAAGAAGAGCTTCCATTCCCTGAGGAAAAGTAACTTTGACAGGCTATAGGCCATCTCTCGGTTTACAAACAGTGTGGTGGCATGCACCCTGCTGCCACTAGGACCCTGTCTGCACAAGGAGGAAATTCATGGAAATTCCCTCGGACTTCTATAAATTTTCCCAGAAGCCGGTCCCTGAACTCCTCCTGTAGCCTGAGTGCTGACAGTAAAAAAATTAAATACCCCAAAATGATGAAATGTATTTTCTCTTTGTGGGAACAAAAACCTGCTTAAGCTCTTTGGGCCATGTGACAACTGGATATACACAAGGAAAGGAAGGAAATTGGATCCTCACTTCACATCCTATACAAAAATTAACTCAAAATTGATCAAGGGACTAAATGTAAATCCTAAAACTATAAAACTCTTAGGAGAAAATATAGATGTAAATTTTCATGACCTTATATCAGGCAATGGTTTCTTAGATATAACGCCAAAAGCACAAACACCTAGAGAAAATAAATAAACTGGACATCATCAAAATTAAGAACTTTTGTGCTCCAAAGGCCACTATCAAGAAGGTGAAAAGACAACCTGCAGAATAGGGGGAAATATCTACACATCATGTATCTGATGAGGGTCTAGTATCCAGAATATATAAACAACTCTTACAACTCAACCTTTGTAAAAACACAACCCAATTGAAAAATGGGCAAAGGATTCGAACAGGCATATCTTCACAGAAGATACATAAATGGTTATTAAGCACATGAAGACATGTACAACATCATTAGTCATTAGGGAAATGCAAATCAAAACTGTAGTGACATACCCACTAGAGTGGCTCTAATTAGAAAGATGGACAATAACAACTGTTGGTGAGGATGTGAGGAAATTGGAACCCTCAGACATTGCTTGTGGGAATGTAAACTGTCTGGTAGGTCCTCAAAAGGTTAAACATAGAGTTACCATATGACCCAGAAATTCTACTTCTTTGTGTATGCACAAGAGATTTGAAAACATACGTTTCATGTAAAAAGTTACATATAAATGTTTGTAGCAGTATTATTCATAACATCCAAAAAGTGGAAACAACCCACATGTCCATCAGCTGATGAATGGATAAACAAAATGTGGTATAGCCATACAATGGAATATTACTCAGCCATAGAAAGGAAGTACTGATTGATACATGCTGTAATATTTATGAACTTTGAAATAATTATGCAGAGCGAAAGAAGCAGACACAAAAAACCACATATTGTGTGATTCCACTTACATGAAATGTCCAGAGTAGGTAAACTTAGAGTGAAAGTAGGGAGATGAGTGGTTGCCAGAGGCTGGGAAGAGGGACAAATGGAGAGTGACAGATAATAGGGGTGGGGTTTCTTTTTGACAGTGATAAAAATGTTCCGGGGGAGAAAACCATGAAATCGTATGCATTAAAAAGGTGAATTTTATGGTACTATATGAGCTATATCACAATTTTTTAAAAAAGAAAAAGACCTTTGGGCCTAACACAACAATATAATAGCCATGAAGCCTATAGAGATATGTGCTTTTCTTACTGTTTATGATGGCCCTGCGGACTCTTTTTCATAGCAAAACAGCTCTTCCCATTGTCTAATTCTGAGCTGGTTTTTGGGAGCAGTTTATAGAGGCAGGCAGTCTCTCTCTTGAATCCCAAAGGAGGTGATTATCTCCTCTTTGCCACTCTTATTTAGGCCAGAAACCCCAGGGTCTTGGCCTTTGGCTCTCAGATCCTTAAGTCAACTGAGACACTTTACCATGTGTTCATTTAAATAGGGTAAGACTCTCATATTTTGTTGTTGTTAAAATAAGAAATCTAACAGAGCCAAAGGCCTTTCTCTCATCATGCAGGAGGAAAGTGCCAGTGGGTCCTTTGATTATGTGTGATAAAGCACTCTTTTACAAATATGAATACTGTTTAGTATTCAGTATTTGTTCCAGTCAGTATTTATTCAATTTTGTATTCAGAGATGACAGTTCTATCAGTATTTCCAGGGTTACAAATAATCAAGAAGATAATCGGAATTATAAGTTATTTTTTTGTAGGCCCTAGAAATAATTTTATAGTCATAGGAGTTTTTAGAGACCCCCTTTGTTCGATCTCTACTTGTGGGGAATGTAAGTTAGGAATGGATAGACACGGAGGTCTTGATTTTGCACAGAAAGACAAACTTGGTATCCTTATGAATGCTTTCAGTGTTAATACCTTAACAAATGAGCATTTTGCACTAATTTTATACCACAGGAAGGTTTCTTTCAATAGCTGCCGAGGAAAGAGGTATCTCATCTCTTTTAGGGACTTCTTTTTTCTCAGTTATGAAGATTTGCATTTTAAAGGCTAGATTCTAGAATTCGTTAGTCAGCATTATACACAAAAGCACGCAGAGCGAACTTGTAGTGGCAGGAATGGAGCTAAGTAATAAAAGTGAAGTGAGGAGTCTAAAACGTTAGTCATTCATATAATCTCTGGGCTCTGATTCATCCTTTAACTTCCTGTCCCACCTCCACCGCCAGCCCATGACACAGCTGAACACAGCACCTGGCATGGATAGTCGTGCTTTATAAATGTATTTCCAGTGAATGAATGAATGTCTAGATTCATGCTTACTGTTGTCATAGGAAAGAATTCCCTCCAGAAAATTTAAGTTCTTTTGAGCCTGAAGCAATCTGCTTGCCCTATTAAGTGGGTCTTCCGAACCAACGGCTTGTTTCCATAATAATGGAACTGTAATGAGTACACACTGGGACAGCCATACCAGTTGTTAAATATTTATGTTCCTTGAGTGTCCGACTTTACCTCTCTGGCCCGTTTCTTAGGACCCATGAGACCTCCTCAGGATTCCGGCCACTAAAGTGGTTAACACATGGACCGCAGTTGGCCTCAGGACTGCTTCAGCGTTGTATCTGACATCTGCGCTGATTGGTCAGTGCCTGCTCTAAACAGTTCTTAAATATTCTGAATTGTTACGACTGTGGACAAGGGCAAACCCTACTTTTGGCCTGGGCAACTTATCTTTTCACTTTCCAAGTACCATAGTTCCTCAATCTTTCCCTGTGTATCTATGGCAGATTTTTATAACCCTGCTGAAGCTGACCACATACGGCCTAGTCCCAAAGCAGTAACCAGTCATGATTTTTCCTTGTGTTTTTTGATAGCGTGAAGGGGACACACAGTGAATGAGACCACTTACTCAGGTCCACCTTCCCTCTCTCACACATTTCCTCACACTCTGCAGTTCTTTGGGTATACCTCTCTTCTGAGCTTCCCCTTCCAAAAGTCTTCTTCTGCTCTAGCAATACTCGTCTGCTTCTCTGGCCCCTCCACCCTTCCTCCCAACTCTATCTCATACACACACTAAATAGGTATAAAATCTAATAATGGTAATGCCAGAGTCCTACTGGAATGCTGGAATCTCAAGGACATCTAAGAAACTGAGTGAGAAAAGCCAAGACCTTTTTTAGAAGGTAGGAAGAGTGCAAGGTAAGAGTACTTGCTAATGAGTGCTTTGCCCCTTCCCCCCATCGTATCCTATTTGTCCTTATTCATCTGCAACCTAATTTCTTTTAGACTATTATTAATTCATCCAACCTACAAATATTTTATGAGCATTGGTGAGATAAGAAGAAATGAGGGTTGATACCTGAGAGTGGAAAAGAAGAGTTGTATCCAGGTCCTAGGCAGGAGTACCAGCCAAGAGGCTGACTGCAGGGCATTACCTGGAGAGGACAGAGCCACAGGGGGTGTCCAAAGAACTTGGGCCAGATCAGAGAAGTCAAATTTATCATCAACCAAATCCGGGGACAAGTTTGAAGCTGGGTGTGGATAGCAGAAGCCTGCAAGGGGATGAATACTGGAACGAGCAAGATGGGAGATAAGGAACAAAGGTGTGAGGGTGAGCGGGCCAGAACTTGTGTGTGAACAGGGTGGAGAAACCCAAAACTCCTCTAACAGGGAATGAGCTCCATACTGTGAGAAGGCTGGAGGTGGCCAGGCCCCAAGGAGAGATCCAGGGTTCATGTGCATAGAGGATATTGTTTTGTAACTATGGGCCTATTCTAATGCTCAGGGCATACTAACCAGCATCCTGTGTGACCCACACACCAAATCCCCGACTCCTTGGAGTAGAATTCCCTGCCAGGCTCTGCCCCTTTGGCTTGTTTTGTGGTTCTCAGGGCATTGAGAGAAATGACTTGTGCTGTGTGATTAGAGGACTTGAGCTGGTGGATTTGGCAGGAGATAACCTGACATCTTCTCCAATTGCAAACCCCACATCCCATGTAAAAGGAGGGGAATAGAATCGCCTTGGAAGTATGACTCTTTCCATGTCAAACCGAAGTTGCTGACCATCTCCGCCAAACTTCCATAATTGAACAAGCCACACTTTGCAGGCAGATAGAAGGAGAGGCAGGTGTCAACTGAGACCAGATGAAGTTTTTTTCCTGGTCAGCTAGAAACTATTACATTATTATTACATGCCAGTTTCTAGCACTTATTATTCAGTATCTGTCATTTTCTTGTTTCTGGTCACTGCTCTGGATTAGAACCAGATTTTATTAATTTGTTAATCAATGTAAAATTATTATTAAGCAATTAACATAAATGCTTAAGTAATAATTAAAATTATTGATTTATTGTTTTTGCTTTAAATATATAACAGCACTTTGAGATATAAAATTCAACAGTTGTTGCTTTAGAGAGAAAAAGTGGATGGGCAGGGGACAAAAGACTTATTTTTTCCAATATATATCCTTTTGTATATTTTGGGTTTTGTATCATGTGTATGTATTACCTGCTAAAAATAAGGTAATAATCATATGATCTAATAATACCACTTCTGGGCATTTACCCAAAGAAGACAAAAACACTAATTTGAAAAGGTATATGCACCCCTATGTTTATTGCAGCGTTATTTACAATAGCCAGATTATGGAAGCCGCCAAAGTGTCCATTGATAGATGAATAGATAAAGAAGATGTGGTGTATATATACAGTGGAATCAGCCATAAAAAGGAATAACATGGATGGATCTAGAGGGTATACTGCTAAGAGAAATAAGTCAGTCAGAGAAAGACAAATGATTTTTTTGAAATGAAAAATGAAATGAAACCATATGATTTCATTTATGTGTGGAATTTAAGGAACAAAACAGAAAAAAAGAGACAAACCAAAAAACTGACTCTTAATTACAGAGAACAAACAGATGGTTACCCGAGGGGAGGTGGGTGAAGGGATAGGAGAAATAGGTGATGGGGATCAAGAGTGTACGCTTACCATCATGAGCACTGAGTAATGTATTAGAATTGTTGAATCACTGGATTGTACGCTTGAAACTCATATAACACTTTATGTTAACTACACTGGAATTAAAATAAAAAAATTAAGGAGTTAATTAATTTTTAAAAGCTACAGCTTGACTTCTTTAGTGTTTAATTTCCTATAAGAAGGATACAGCTGATCTGCCATTCTCCTCACCGCAAATCTACCAAGAATTTGCTTTTGTTCATTTCTTTTGAGACTATATTTTCCTTTCTCTAGGATGAGCTGAAATTACTTGGAAAGCAAGGGACCACATTACTGTCATGTATTCAAGAAACAGCAACCAAAAGTCCCACCAGCAAACTCAATCCCAATGAACTAGAGAATGTAGCTACCATGGAAAGGTGAGTGAGAGAGGGGGGAATATGTAGAACTCGATCTGAAACATCCAAGAACAATTGGTAAAGCTACTCCTGGGTCTTGGTGGAGTCAAAAAAGAAGTATTTGAGACAACAAAGGCAAAAAGATGGTATCTACCGACATGTTTTTATGAGAATGCTATTCCCTCCTTTTGTGCTATGCTCTCATCCCAGGATTTCAAGGGAGATGGTAGTACATATTTATCTATATTTCCAAATAACAGTTTGGTTAGGTGCTGTGCTTTACACACCTGTTATCTCAAGTAGAAAACAAGAGGCACAAAGTTAAGGTTACCTGGGGGCACATTTCAAAGCACAGCAGCTGCATCTGAAGTGAATTTTCTGCCTAGTTCTGAGGGTATCCTGAGAGAAAAATGGAAAATTTTTCCATTTCCAGCTGAACTGTGAGAAAGTCATAGGTGACAGAGACTTGTGTAAAAAGGAGATTCCCGTAGTTCATAACACTGACTGGAAACATAGGGGTTACCTACATAAGCCTACATGGACTCCTGTGGAAATGGACACTAACCACAATGTCACTTTCTCTTCCTTAACAGGTTATTACTTCAGCTGGGTGAGACAGAAAAAGCCTTTAATCAGTTTTGGTCTGAGCATCACTCGAAGCTTCACCAATGCCTACAACTACAACACTTTGAGCGCAATTTTTATGAGGTGTTACTCTCTTGTTGAACAGAGCTTTCTTTCATGGTTTGGTGACTTCTGGTTCTCTGTTTCTCCCTTGAACTGCGAATACTGAGTGTCCCTCTTCTCCCTAATCCAGCCCCCTCCTGATATCCTTGCTTCCTCATTGATTGTTCTCGTTTCCCTTTTTCAGTGGGGTAGCAGTGTTCTAGCATCCCATTTTCCTGTTGGCGTACATGGTATTTCATGTCTGTTTTATCTTCCTTTTTGACTGACAATCTGTGAATGTATCTATAATCTTTCCTCTCTGTGTGTCTCGGCACTATCCTCCTCTCTCCACCCCTGCCCTGAGCCTAATCTAAGTGCTTATGAGCTGTAAAAAGAAAATGTATATAGAGATACACAAAAGTCCTGAATCCTTTTTGGATTTTCAAGTTTTCTTAGAGTATACAAACCTATACCTCCAGAGAGGTGCTTGGGGCTTATTTCTGGATGTTCTAATGTGCCTTACAGGTTAAGCTTGCCCTGGACAATTTGCTGGCAGAGCAAGCGGAGTTTACAGACATTGGAGACAGTGTGATACGCGTGGAGCAACTTCTTAAGGAACATAAAAACCTGGAAGGAAAAGGCGAGGTTTGTTTTTTGCTGTTTTTATGAGCTGGGAAGGAAGTTGCTGTGTACAGTGACAGATCATGTCCACTCATTATTGTTGGAAGTTGCTAAAGGACACAGGAATGCCCAAGTCCTGCCGTTTCAGTCTCCACTGCCACCCCAGGTGGGGTGAGGGTTCCGGTTGACTTGCCTGCCTGTACAAAAGCAGCGGGAGGAAAGGTCACAATGAACACTTTATCAACCAGGAGGATGTGGGGGGTGGGAGTTGGTGGTAAGGAGGGAAAATGTGGAAAGGGGAAACCAGAAAAAAATACCAGCTGGTTTTATAACAAGCAGAATGGTGCAAAGGGGGAAACGGGTCCCTATTAGTTCTGCTGCTACACAGAGTTGGCAAAGCTTTCTCCTTTCTCATGCCCCAAGAGTTGTCAGTATCAAACTTGTAAAAGAATACAATTCTTTTACAGTTTCACAATTCTCATACCAGAATTAGACAGTTTCCCAGATTTGCACACAAGTCAGCAGGTAGTAGTGACTCTATTTTAAGTCCTTATCAATTTGGGTTATTATGAATTAAGAAAGCTGAGTCTTCTCTTTCTAGAGAAGTTCCCTTTTGCTATTCTCAAATTAGATTCTCTATATTTTTGTCTTTTGGGCACCGTGTCCTTGATGATTAGCACTTCCTCTCTGAGCTTATCTAAATGCATGTTTCCCACATGGTAATTTTATAGTATTAGAGATTTTCTTCTCAAAGTGTGATCCTCTGACCAGTGCATAGATGTCACCTGAGTGAAAACTTGTTAGAAATATGGAATCTCACGGCCCCCCCAGAATTAGAATCTGCATTTTAATAAGATCCCCAGGTGATTGACATGTACATTATAGTTAGAGACATACCTTCCCCTCCCCAGAGGACAAGTAACAACTGTAAACCAGGTTCACTCTGACCCTAAGAGTTATCAGTTGTAGATTCTGAACTGGAGGTGCTTCTACACGTGCGTGAACACATGAACCCACCTGTGCACCCAGACTCTCACTCAAGAATCCCATCCTCCCCTATGAGCATTCCCTCTGTTACCAATGATCATTTGACAACTAAACATTTTAGTACTGTAGGCATGAGTAAACAGAAACCTTTATCAAACAATAAAAAAAATCAAATTTCATGTACCTGATAACGATGTGTCTCAAATTCTCTAAGACAGTCCCAATTTTATGTAATTTTAGTTTTTTTTTCAAGAGAACTCCTTATTAAATGTAGATACTATGTATTTTCACTTGCATATATTCATATATTAGGAAAAAAAGCCTCATCAAGCCCAGTCCTTATATTTTGGGTTTGGAAAAATATGGCCATGGCATATATATGAATGAAAGTAGCTACTGACCTGCCAGGAAGGCATTCATTCATCACCAGGTACTCCTTGTCCTAGGTTCTGTGGATATGGTGGCAAACCAGTCAAGACCCTGCTCTCATAGAGTTTACATTCTACGGGAGAGAGAGAGGAGGAAAAAATAATCAGATAGTAATATCAGATACATGTGGTATGAAGAAAACAGGATGTAAGAGAGAGTGACTTGGGGTGCTACTTTAGCTCAGGTAGTCAGGAAAGATCTCTGAGAAGGTGACCTTTGATCTGAGCTTTGGATAGCCATGCAATGATTTGGGGAATAGCATACAATGCAGAGAAGCCTCAAGTGTGAAACTTTTGAGGCAAGAATGAGGTTGGTGAGTTCAAGGAATGTTGTCTGAAACATAGTGAGCCAGGAAGGAACAAGGTGGGAGCAGTTGTGGTGAGGACTGGATTTTATTTTCAGTGGAACCTATTGAGGGGTAGTCTGGGTTGGGTTTTAAATAGTATGGCTGAGGGGCATCTGGGTGGCTCAGTCAATTGTGTCCAACTCTTGGTTTCAGCTCAGGTCATGATCTCAGGGTTGTGGGATCCAGCCCCATGTTGGGCTCTGCACTCAGCGCAGAGTCTGCTGGAGATTCTCTCTTCCTCTCCCTCTGCCCCTCCCCCCTCTTGCACATGTGTGCTCTCTCTCTTTCTCTCAAATAAATGAATACTTTTTTAAAAAAATAATAATAAATAGTATGGCTGATCTGCATCCACTTTCTCTCTTCTGCCCCTCTTCTTGGACTTGAGATCTTTGGAACATACTTTAAAGATTGCTGACCAGAGCTAGGGGAGAAACCTATGGTCATGGGACGTAGGAATGCTTTGTGAACCCATGATTGATTTTTCACAGCCAAAGTACCAGAACCAGGCAGACTGACTCACAACAGATGACCAGCAGAGCCCAGGTATATTAGTTTTACCCATTCTGTGCCTTGCTTACCCTGGGTTTTTTTTTTTTTTTTTTTTTTACTTATTTTCTAAAGGATGCAGTAGACCTATTTCTCTGCCTTTAGATGAACCAAACAAAACTATCCTATCATAACCAGGACCTTTTTAACATGTTTTCCCACAGATTTCTAAAAGAGAGTGTTTCTTCAGATGATTTTAAAGGCTTGGCTAATCTTTCCATTTGTCCTGTAAAGTGTTAAAGGAATAAGGTGATGTCTGTCTAGAGTCCACCAAAACCTGCTTGGGTTTGTCCTTCACTCAGCACTCAGGGGTCAGCTTCCCTCCTGGCACAGCCACTCACTGATATCTCGGTTGTTGCCAACTTCCTTATTCTGTACAATTATATCATCCTCGTGGGTAACCTCTGAGCCAACTCACTAACCAGACGTCTGCTGCATGCTAATTGAGGCTGTTCTTTTATCTTTTTCTGGTTTGATGGTTTAGCAATTTTTTTTTTTTTTTTTTTAGAGAGGGAGAGAGAATCTCAAGCAGGCCCCACTCCCAGTGTGGAGCCCCACCCAGGGCTTGATCCCACAATCCCAAGATCATGATGACCTGAGGTAAAATCAAGAGTTGGACGCTCAACCCACTGAGCCACCCAGGCGCCCCTGGTTTAACAATCTTTTGAAAGCTCATTTCTAATTCTGAGAAACAATGGTGGTTTCAACCCCCACTCTTACTTCTTTTAAGGCAGAATTTGCTGTAGGGTTTTGGCTATAAGGCATGCCGGGGCCTTTGGTGATGGGTCAGCAGAGAGCAGACAAGGACTGGGCAGGGGAACTAATCTGATTTTAATCTTGACCTCTCCCCACAAGACCAGGGGCCAGCAGTTATAGTATAGTACATGTCCAGGAAGGCTTGGAACCCAGATCATTAACCTCCTAGGGATATAATCTAGCTGGAGGGGCATGACTTTTTTTTTTTTAATGGAAAATTTCAGACACATGCAAAAGTAGATCAACTAGTACAGTGAACTCCCATGTGTATGCTCAGTTTCCACAACCCTTAACTTTCTGCCTTTCTTGTTTCATCTGGCCCCACTTCCCCACATGTACATTTCATTCCTATGCCATTATTTGTGGGTTCATTCTGGGTTCCCTGACATATAGCATCACCCTTTCTCATTTTCTTTCACAGTAGACATTTTCATCTTTCATATGTCATAGCAGTAGATTCTGGGGGAAAATAAGCTGTTATTACACTAAGGATTTCTGAATTACATGTTGCAGCTTGACTATCTAGCCTTCTAGAATTTTCAGTATCTGAAAGATGCCAGGCTGGCTTGTGATCAGAGCACCAGATTTCAGCCATTTCTTTCTCATTATTTCTCTTTGACTTTGGTGGTTTTGTCACCTGGTTTTCTTCAGCAGAAGCTATATAGATTAAGAAATAAGTTGCGATTTGGAGGTTTTACAGTAAAGTTCTTCGCAGGCGCCTGAAGGATGTGATAGTCATGGCTCTTCAGCCATCATTTATAGCATATACAAGGAGGCCAAGGGGGCTGGAACGTGACAAGACGCTGGCTTTGGAGCCAGACAGAACTGGATTCAAATCTCTGCTCTAACAACTACCAGCTGTGTGCCCTTAGTCAAGTTTCTTAGCCTCTCTGAACAGCCCTCATCTGTAAAACTGATAATAACCATTGCCTATTCCCTGTGAAGATGAAATGAGGTAAAGGCTTCATAAGGACTGGAGCGTAGTAGGTGGTCAGAACCTGGAAGCTCTTATTAGTACCCATTCATTTCAGTTGAGTGACCTTTCTGCCATCCAGTGCAGCTCCTGAGTCACTGCTCACCTCTCCTCCAACATCTCAGTGTTTAAGAAGTTCTGAAGGGTGAGATGCTGCACGCCAAGCAAAGGGCAGGCTGTCATCACCACGAAGCACTTGGAAAATATTCTGGGGGGATGTTCCCTGGGCCCAGAAAACTTGTCCTGTTCTTAGTAAATTCACAGCTGGACTTAAAAAAAAAAAAAGTCAACAGACTTCCTTGCCAAGTTTTCATGCTTCTATATTTGGCTAGAATCAGACAGGTTTGATCAAATGAGGTCCCTAAGCTTAGGCGGAACGAATGCAGCCGTTTTTCTCTGTCTGTGTTGGTCAGAACCAGATTCCGGAGCCAAACTTCCTGACTTTGAAGCCTGGCTCTTCCCTTTCCTACCTGGGTCACTTTGGGCCATTTTTGCCTCTACTTCTCCTTTGTTAAACGGGGCCTATGTCAAAAGGTTTGTTGCAAGGAGTAAAAAGAAACAGTTAATTTAAGCATGGCATATAGAAGGCTCTCTGAATATCAGCTGTTGTCACAGAGGTAACAGGGCAAATTCTGTGCTAAGGAATGTTTCTTAGGTTCAACCTGCAGTGGCCGAGCAGTTCTAGTAAGAGCGTCTCACCCATTCTTCATTCATTTTGCAAGTATTTGTTGATCTACTATGCCAAGTCCTGTTCTAGGTTATGTGGACACAGCAGTGAGGAAAACAGTTAAAAATCACTGCCTGAGGAATTAGCATTCTAGTCTTTTCTAGACTAGAATTCATTATGCACTGGGTCTTTATCCCTGAGTTCCTTTAAAATAGCCACTGCTTGACCTGTGTCACTTTATTCCTGTATCATTACTCAGTTTTGTTTTGCACAACAATCATTTATTCTTAAGTACCTAATTTGTACCATGGACGTCTTAAGTTGCATAAGAGCTGGTGCATGCTCACAAGGGTCCACAGCATAGTGTGGGCAATAGATCAGTGATCACAATACAGCGAAGTACCTGCTCTGATCAAGAAAGGGCACAGAGCGTTATGGGAGCACAGAGGAGGGGCATCAAAATAAAATGGTAGAGTTGAGAAAGTTTCCTGGAGAGGATGCACTCTGGAGGGTGATGCAGAGTTAGCTCCAGAAGAATGCAGGTGCATCAGGAGGTGGGGGATGGAGACGTGGGAGTGGGGGTGGCCAGGGAAGGAGGGCTCAGAATTTGAAAGTTGTTAAGAAGGATGTGGGCTCTGCAGGGCTTGGTGAATGACTGACCCAGGACGGGGGGGCGGGGGCAGTGTCTTAGAGATTGTTGAAACCATAAACCCCTGTAAGTTAAGAGAGGGGCAGGATGTCATCACCTGGAGTCATAACTCCTTGTGTTACTGTAAAAAGTTAAACCAGGGCAAATGTGTCTCACTGGGATGTGCAACATTGTCAGCAAGAGTGCACATGGAAGTCATCTGTATTCACTCACAGGTCAATGTTGTTTCACACAATTCCAGCCAAGTATATCACTGTGTCTTCTAGTTCCCTGGTTAATTCATTTTATTGATCAAATATTTATGAGATACTTCTATGCTTTCATGGAGCTTGTGTATTGGTAGGAGTGCGTGGAGGAGGAAAGAATCATAAGTGAAAGTAAACAAAGAAGGTAAGTTCAGGTAGAGGTAAGTGCTGTTAAAATAAATGAAACTGAAGAGAGAGAGAGGGCCAGAGAGAGGGCCTGGGCAGGTGGGTTGCTGGGAGTGACTTAGATAGTGTAGTCAGAGAAGGCCCTGTGAAGAGGTGAGCCAAGAATTTACCTGAATGACCCTAAGTGAAGCATCCCGGGGAAGGACCCTGAGGCAGGAGCTAGTTTGGTTGCCATCCTTGTTTAAACCATGCCTCTTACCTGGATTATTGCAGTAGCCACCAGCTGGTCTCCTTGCTTTGCCTCTTCTCTGTCATTCTCAACATTACAGTAGGAGCAATTCTTTTAAAAATATGAGCCCTCCTCAGAGCCCTTCAGGGCTTCCTACACCACACTAAGTAAAAGCTGAAGTGCTCAGAATGGCATTGGTGCCCTCCCCAACCCAGGCTCCCTCTTTCTCCTGATTACGTCTCCTATTCCTTTCCTGCTTGCATCCTCTGTTCCAGCCACAGTGGCCTCCTCCTGCTACCTGGAACATGGCAAACATGCCCCCACCTTTCAGCCAAGTACTGCATGGTTTGTCCCTCACTTTAGGCCTTGGCTTCTGTGTCAAGAGTTCCCAGGTTCACACTCAGATTTGAAGATTTGCTAGGGGGCCTCACTGGACTCAGCATGTAATTATACTCACATGGTTATGATTTATTACAGTGAAAAGATACCAAGCAAAATCAGCATGGGAAAATGCATGGGGCAAAGTCTGTTGGGAACCAGATACAAACTTCCAAGATTGCTCTCCCAGTGGAGTCCCATGAGATCCTGATCCCCCCCAGATTCTGCCCCCCGCCCCACAAAGGGTTGTGACACCATTGTAAGATGTTATCTATCAGGGAAGCTCATTACGGGCTCAGTGCCCAGTTTTTATTGGGGACTGGTCATGTAGGTAGCCTCTGCCTGCCATATACCAGAATTCCATACTCCCAGAAAGAAAGTAGGGATATAGTATAAAGCATGTTTTTTGCACAAACAGTTAAGGCATGGTGAGCCATTCTTATCAGGGGATGATATGTACCCTCCTGACATTCCTAGATGGCACCCAAGGGCCAACCTTGCAAGCAGGCTTTGCAAGGACAACAGTCTTAGGCCTGTTATGTTAACATTTCTGCACTGCTTGGATGGCTTGCTTGCTTGCTTGCTTTCTTCCTTTCTTTCTTTCTTTCATTCATTCTTTCTTTCTTTCTTTCATAAATATTCAATTTATTGAAGTAACAATAAAGTCTAGTTTTTCCTTAAGCTTTCAAGTTCAACTACAAATCTTTTTGTTCCTTTTTTCCCCTTTCTAAAAAAAAATTGAAATTCAGTTAATTAACATAATATATTATTTGTTTCAGGGGTACAGGTCTGTGATTCATCAGTCTTATATAATACCCAGTGCTCATTACAACACATACCTTCCCCAGTGGACATTGTGGATGGCACTTTCTCAGCGAACCCTTCTCTCCCCCATCCTACTTAAAATAGAACCTCCTCCACCAGCATTCCCTACCCTCATTTCCGTTTGACCTTTCTCTATAGCACGCATCACTAACTAAGATATTATATAATCTACACATCTAATTGTTTATTGCCTTTGTCTCCTATTAACATGTAAGCTTCATGAGGGCAGGGATTTTTGCTTCCTTGATTACCACCAAACCCCTAGCACCTAGGACAGTGTTTGGCACATGGGAGATCCTCAGTAGTATGTGATGAATGAATTAAAAATAGATAAACATGGGGGCACCTGGGGGCTCAGTTGGTTAATGTCCAACTCTTGATTTTGGCTAAGGTCATGATCTCAGGGTCGTGAGATTGAGCCCCACATCAGGCTCTGCTCTGGGCATGGAGTCTGCTTAGGATTCTCTCTCCCTCTTTTCAAAACAAAACAAAACAAAACAAATAAACACGGCACATGGGGTTAGAACAAAGCAAGCCATGCAGAGAGAGGTGGGAGGCGTGGTTGCTGGGCAGATGAAGTCAGAGCAAACTGGGATCCTGGATCTTGTGAGTTGCAGGAAGGGGTTTAGATAAACGTATTTCTTAAGTCTCATGATCCCCCACAGAGTTGTCCAAACCAGATCTTTACTAGTTTCCCAAATTCAGCGGACTCTTCTCTCTCCTCAGGGCCCCATGTCTGATCCTTTACTTTTCCATTTAGTTGACAGGGGAATTCAGAGTCTCCAGTTCTGGTCAGTATAACACTTCATGCTCTTCTGACAAAAACTTCCAACAGTTGTAATAGTTGATTTATTGGTATTATTTATTTAGTAATCTGAGTTCTCCATTAGATTGAAAATCATAGCTTGTTAACCAAATCCTCAGTGCCTAGCCCAGAACTCAACAGACATTTGAATGAGTGGTTTGCTTTTCTTCAGAGTGCAGGTGACCCTGGACTAGGATGGACTTCCTGGAGACCTTGAACTTCGACACAGCTTTCCCAGGTTCTGTAGCCGCGACTCTCAGCCTAAGACCTGACATCTCCCTAGGCTCCCTCCAGGTTTGGAGCACACGGTAGGCAAATATCAGCCTCACCATGACCTGGCTTCTGATGCTTGGCTGTGGATGTTCACTTCACAGGAGCCCTTGGAAAAGGCCCAGCTGCTTGCAATAATTGGGGACCAGCTCATCCAAAGCCACCACTATGCAGTCGACTCCATCAGACCCAGATGTGTAGAGCTCAGGCACCTCTGTGATGACTTCATCAATGAAAGCAAGAAAAAGCATGACATTTTAGAGAAGTCCTTGGAGTTGCATAGACAGCTGGACAAGGTGAGCACAGCAAAGTCATGACCGTGATGTCCGCTACATTTTCTGTACAGGAGTTTTAACCATACTCATCATCCCTGCCCTACAGAACTGCTGAGAGGATAATTACTTCATGGAAAATAGTGCTCGAGAGGCATTAAAAACTGTACAGATTCTAGGTCAGGGAAGTATTGGAAGTCAAAAATGCCCTCACCATCCCACCATATCCCATTAGAATGAACAAATGTTCATTTTCCTCTATGTGGACCTAGACTTAGAGTGTGTTTTGGCCTGGCCCCATGATTCCCTTTCAGGCAGAGAACGAAGCACTATATTAACAAAGTGCTTCTCTTTATATAGAAGCATTAATCCTTTTGGAGAAGCTTAAGTAATAATGACCATTATACACTCCTACCATTTATTGAGCACATACTATATCCCTGCAGGAAACATAATTATGTCATCTACTCAATCCTCAATAAAACCTATGAGGAAGGTATTAATGGCATTATTTTATAGAGGCAGAAACTGATATTCAGCGTGGTTAAATCAGTGGTTCACAACATTTTTTTTTTAAGATTTTATTTATTTATTTGACAGGGACACAGTGAGAGAGGGAACACAAGCAGGGGGAGTGGGAGAGAGAGAAGCAGGCTTCCCGCAGAGCAGGCAGCCTGATGTGGGGCTCAGTCCCAGGACCCTGCATCATGACCTGAGCCGAAGGCAGACGCTTAACTACTGAGCCACCCAGGCGCCCCTGGTTCACAACATTTAATACATGAGAACCAGTTTGCTAGAATTGCAGATTCTCTAATGTGCCATTCCGGAGACTCAGATTCAGTAAAGTCTAGGATGATGCCCAGGAATCAGTATTTTCACCAAGTTTCCAGGTGACTCTGGTGCAGGTGGTACAGGGACGACACTGAGCAACTGTGGGATAAGTGATTGCCCATGACCACCCCTGGGGTAAAAATAGGAGATTGCAGATTTGAAGTCAGGACTGCCATATTCCAAACCCCGGGCTCCCTAGACTAGACAGCAACACTGTGTGCAGAGGGCTCACAGGGAAGGGGCACAGCCCCCGCTGCCCTTCAGTGGTGATCTCTGGGGCAGGTGTCTGGGGCAGTGACTTCTGGAGCTTTCCCTGTCAGCTGTTTGCAGGCAGCATGTGACTCATAGCCATGAGTCAGCATACTCCATTCCCATAGCTGTTTCTCTGTGATGGCTGGGGGCACACACCCAGGCTGTTTATGTCATCCCAATGCAAAAGGGATTGAAATGTCAATGAAATACAACTGTTCCAGAAGCAAGTGGCTCAGAAGGGCCTGGTCCACAGCCTGCTCTGTGTGCTGAACTCTGCAGGATTAGCTGTGGTTTTCCTCGCTCCATTTCTGCTCCAGAGATAATAGCCTAATGCTGATGTGTGGAGCGTGTGTGTGTGTCTGGGAGAGTAAGTATCCGCTGTGACTCTGTGGAAGAACACAACTTAATGTTTTCTATAGATCTAGGCATGATGTTTCAAGAGAAATATATCAAAGCATGTATATATCATGCATATAGAGTATATATCTAAAATTATAGAGTATATATTAAAGCATGATTTACATTATTTTGAAAATCCAAAAATGTAGGAAGGAGGAGGAAAAAAGTTACTGTGGACACCTACACGTCCCATTCCCTTCCTCATCCCTACACAGAGATAATCATTAATTGTTAAATATATTATGTATTCTAAAAGTAGTACACATTCAATGTAAGTAATTTAAAGGAAAAAATAAAGACAAATAGAAGTTGCCTATAATTTTCCCACTTAGAGCTAACTACTTTAGAGTGCTCCCTTTTGCTCTTTTCCCCCTGTATGGTTATTTTATGTAGCTCTTCAGGTCACACGGTAAATGGAAATGCAGACATACTTGCACTGGCGCTTCTTTCCACATAAGTATCCAGGCAGCACAAGGGCCCCTGTCTTTCTGTTTAAGTCTTTTAAAAATTGAATTGTTAGAGTTCATCACTTATCTGATTCCATCCCAGCATTCTGGAAAGTTTGAATATTGCTGTCCTGAGTTACAAAGCTTTGCATTCTTGGATGCTTCTCTAGGACAGACAAATGCCAGTAAATGCAAATGTGGACAGAGGAAAGTAGTGTTTTTGTTAAGAGGGACACTCTAATGCCCCATTTGTCACCCTATGCTCTCATAATCAATTAGGATACAAGATGAGTAGCCTAGAAGGCAAACCTGAAAAGTCATTGGTCACATTCCTCGATGGTTAGGCCAAATTTAGGAATACCTAACTCTTTTGGAGATGTAGCAATTACTGTCAGTGGAAAAGAGAAGAATGTTTATACAAGTCTTCTTACTGACTGGATGACTTCCCTGAGAAATGGACAGACATAAAATTAGTTTGGGTTTGTCCACCGTAGAAGTTGTGTTAGCAGTGGTTAGACTTATGAACTTTATGCTGTCCCACAGCAATTTTCCATTGTCTCAGGATCCTTCTAGACCACAGATAAGCTCAGGCGTCCTGAGGGTTGTGGTGGCTGAGTTGTGGTCAGGCTGACGGCGTAGGGCACTGTGTTTCTTTTTGAAAGGTCAGCCACTGGTGTGAAGCAGGAATCTACCTTTTGGCTTCCCAAGCTGTAGACAAATGCCAGTCACGAGAGGGCGTTGACGTTGCCTTGAACGACATTGAGGCATTCCTGAGTACGGCGAAGGAGTACCAGTTGCCCAGCCACATGGAGTTTTACAGCCAGTTTGAGTTGATACTCACCATTGACGTCAAGGTAATGTTTCTGGGTTATTTTAATCTTGTGGTTGGAAAGGAAGCACTGGGTGGCTTTTGCCTATTGCTTAAGAAAGTCTGGGTAGGATGTACTGAGCAGGCTCACCAGTTCCTGAGTCTCAGGTGGCATCCTAGCCTCTGTGCTTCCTGGCAATCTGACCCTTCATGGTCTGACCCAAATATCACCTTCAGTCATTCATTTCTCTCCAGATGCTTATGAGCATCTCTGATGTATCATGCACTGTGCTGAGGACACAGCAATGAGAAGAAATAGACATGGTTCCATCCCTGATGGAACTTAGTGGGAGAGGCTGACATTAATAAATGTCAAACACAAAACATAAGAATGTGTTACAAGCTGAGATAAGTACTCTGAAGGAGAGATTTAGGATCATGTGATAGAAGAACTTGACCTTGATTGGGGATCACTTGAGTCAAGTCCTGGAGAATGAGTAGAGATAATGGGGGAGCCTTTCCAGACCAGAAGTAATAGCATGTACAGGGGACACAGGCCTGGAGGGAAGCTGGCACAAGTGCAGAACCCAAAGGCCAGGGTGGCTGGAGTACAGAGAGCAAACAAAGGGTGTTTGGGGTGAGATAAGAGAGGGGCAGATGAGGCAGAACTTTATGGGCCACATTAAGGAGTTTGGTTTTTATTCTAAGAGCAGTGGGAAGCCACTGAAGGATTTAAGCAGGGGAATAACTTGATTGGATTTGCATTTTGAGAGGAGCACTGTTCTATGAAGTCAGCAAAATTGTGGATAGCACATCTTCCTCCGAGATTCACATCACCTTGTATGTATCTCTCCCATAGGACCTTCTTTACTTCTTTTGAGCCACAGAATCTGATTCACATGCTTTCAGGGTTCTTGCATACTCAAAGTGATTGAAGGGAGTTTGAGGTAGGCACTTTTTACCAAGATATGGGCAGGATTTAGGGAACCCAGTAGGGATAGTGAAGATCCCTGGGGCTACTAGCAAGAAACAGGAAGCAGTTACCACCCATACGCGTAAAGGGCAAAAGAGAACCCAGGAAGCACTGTAGCTGTGACTGTGAGAGGCACTAGTAAGGGCTGTGGCCTTGGCCAGGGGGATGCAACCACCGATGGGGGAATATATATCCCTACTCTCCGCGCTCTCTCTTTTGGATTTCCTGGTAGTGCTTCCTATTGGCCAAGGCAATTAAAAGCCCATGGGCAAGTGAGCCTATTCAACAGAGTCTGTAGAGGTCAGCTTCCTGGGACACAGAGCTGGGAAAAGAAGATGTAGTAGGGTGACAAATAGGGAATATCCAGCATATATAACTTTTATAATTAATTTTATGGGATACCCTAAAGTCCAGCCATGGATTCAGGCTAAGAGCCTTTGCTGTAATATGTTACATACCATACTGTATTCTACTTATTTACTCTATTTTTTTTTTAAAGATTTTATTTATTTATTTATTTGACACAGAGAGAGGCACATAGCAAGAGAGAGGGAACACAAGCAGGGGGAGCGGGAGAGGAAGAAGCAGGCTTCCCACGGAGCAGGGAGTCTGATGTGGGGCTCGATCCCAGGACCCTGGGATCACGACCTGAGCCGAAGGCAGACGCTTAACGACTGAGCCACCCAGGCGCCCCTACTTGTTTACTTTAAACGTCTGTCTTGCTTATTACACTGGGAGCTCCTGAAGGGCAGGAGCCTCGTTTATCTCTGTGTCCCTGTGCCTAGCCTCTGCCTGGGGTCCAATCCATATTTGTTGAGCAAGTGGGCAGGCAGGTGGCAGGGTGGACCAGGTACAGTGGGGGCAGCTCAATGTGGAGTTGTACCTTAATGATGTTCTTTCCCTGAAACCTTTTGATGGTAAGGTGTGATCTTGGTAAGGGGTGGGGGATGGGTAGGCAGACACCTTCCCCCAACACAAGGACTTCCTTGCAGAGGGAACAAAGGGACAGTCCTCTGGTGGAGGTTCTACACTGCAGACCCAGTGTTGGTAGCTCCAGGTCAGATTCCTAAGGCAGGATAGTCTCACCCAGCTCCAGCTCCATTAGCCGCTCAAATGAGTATATTAGGTCAACCAGGGAGATTTGTGGCTACAGCTGCTGTTCTGGCCAACTTCAGCAAACTTCCTGGCCATACCACCTACCAGGAAATAAATAAAACTTAATAAACCATCTCTGGAAAATAGGCAGAAACAGGGAGGAAGGAGAGGATTATAAGAGAAATATTTTTTTAAATCCTATATGTCAAATGGATCAAAATAGCCCCCAAACCCATCTTTCCTTCTTTTGGTTTGGAGTAAAATTTTAGGTTATAAGACTTAACTATCTTGTGTCAGAGAAAGTTTTGTCCGCTGAGAAGTAATGACTTTGTTGTCAAAACTGGTGCTCTATACATATAGAAATATTCCTAGATATATGTATATGTACATATGGTACAGACACATGTGTCTTTTTATTTCGACAATTGAGATAGCCTAGAAGCAGACACCCCCCGGTGTCAATGAGCACATCTAGCACTGAGATCTTGGTTTCTAATACCATTCTTCAATAAAAGACTCCTGAGCTCCTTGGAGAAATGGCTGATTCTAGGGCTGGGGCAGGGAATATACAAGATGATCCTAGAGCATCTTGTAGTGTCAGAAGGAACTACTAAAAACAAAACAACAAACCACAGTGATGGGACATAGGCAGCAACTGAAAAGAACCCCCATGGCCAATACTAGAACAATTTGAGCAATAAAGTTAATAAAGTAGTTTTGGATTACAGCCCAAATTATAAAATACATATCCATGAATCCATTCCCTTATAAATAAATGATGGGATAAATAAATAAATAAATGGGGCAGAAGAAACTAATCTCCCATGCAGAAGCATTCTAAATTATTTATGTAGTTACTTTGCCCTCAAGGAGGTAGAGCATAATTTCCCAACCCTTAAATGTGGTCTGTACATAGTGACTTCCTTTCAAAGAATACAGTATGGGGAGGGAGAAACAAAAAGTGGCTTTATGGTGAAGTTACTTTACATACACGACCTCAGCTAGGTGACATAGGTCAACATCAGCAGTGTTGTCATGCAGATATGATGTACTTTGATATGATGTGATGAACATGACACTTTATTTCCATGATCTTACCCCCAAAACCCATAGCTCTGGGCTAATTATGAGAAAAGCATCAGATAAATCCCAACCAAGGGACATGCTATAAAATATCTGACCAATACTCCTCAAGATAGTCAAGGTCATAAAAAACCAGGAAAAGCTGAGAAACTGTCACAGCCAAGAGGAATCTAAGAAGTCATGACAACTACATGTAATATGGTGTCCTGGATGGGACCCTGGGGGGAAAAGTACCTTAGGTGAAATTAGTTTTAACTAATTCTTAAGTTTTAACTAATTTAACTAAGTCTAACTACTGTATGGACTTTAATAATAATAATAATTTATTTTAATAATAAAGATAGCAATCAATATTATTTTATTAATTATAAGAAATATACCATACTAATGAAAGCTCTTAAGATAGGGGAAACTGGGTGGTCTATATGGGAACTCTGTGTACTTTTTTTTGTACTTTTTTCTGTAATTCTAAAACTATTTGAAGAACTAAAATTTATTTCTAAAACACTGGTACTCTATGTCTAAACAATTGAATCTGTTACATTTAAGACATAGTGATCATCAAAACTACATCTACAATTAAACTATTGTTCTTGTAGCAGGCACCCTGTCTGTCTGAGGCTCTTCAAGTGCTTTTCTGCAATACCTTGCTACTCCACCACCCTCTTGGTGCTGCTGTTTTGATTTTTCTCCCTTGTTCACTTTCACCACCCAGTCTAGAAAATGAAACAATCGAAGTAACAAATTGCAACATTCAATTCTTTAAATATTCACTGGGAACCCAGTTTGTGCTTTGTTCTGGGACTATAATGATGAAAGTCACAGTCCCTGTAATGAAGGGGGTGGCAGTTTAGTGGAAGACAAACATGTCCCCAGTAAGTGCCTATTGGTCCAAGAGCATGGAATGGAAGAGACAGTGGGGCACGTAGGGGAGGTAAAGGTCAGCTCAGCCTGGGAGGTCAGGGTGTTCATAGGAGAAGATGCCTGAATTTGGTCTGGAAGATTGGGTAGGAGTTTTCAAGGGAGACAAAGCAGAGGGAGGGAACCTCAGCAGAAGGAAGAGGTGGTGCAAAGGCAGAGAGACTGGAAACAAGAACATTCCTGTAACTGCCATAGCTGAAGGCTAGAGGTAGTGGTGGGGACTAGTGAAAGTTAGACTGGACCGAAATCAGGGTAGTTAATGAAGGGTCCAGTGTTTCATGAGGAGTCTGGACTGTATCCCAGCAGGGCATTTAAACAAGGAAGTTATCCAGGAAAGCTAATTCTGATTGTGGTATGGAGAATGGATTTGCAAGTAAAAAGAGGAAAGAGGAAAGGAGGGGATGCAGTTGTTAATCTTGCCCCAATTTCCCCCTCTTCTGAGCTGAGGGATTTAGGGTTTCTTCTGACGACCTCACCATTTCCAGGGTTCACCCTGGGATCTTAAGGGAGAGATGCAAAAGGGCAAAGGTGATTCAAGTCCTGTCCCGTCCAAGTGGTGAGCCAGGGGCTCCAGCATGTGGCACTGACCTCACATCAGGGCTGTATACCATACACCACTGATTTGACAGTCATTGCGGTCAGATTTCTTGATATTTGTGCAGCAGTTAACACCTGTGACTCAGTTTCCTAGCTTATCACTGGGCTGGCCACCAAGTCTCATCACCGTCACCCCAGAAACACAAACTGACATTGCCTAATCCTGACATAAGGGGATTTGGTTTCTTTTGGGATCTGGACTCAGCTGTTTTGTCAGAACCTCTAGTTGGCTGTACAACTGAGCTTCCTGAGGCCAGAAGCACATTCTCTGAAGAGACATTTTATTTTTATTTATTTTTTTAAAGATTTTATTTATTTATTTGACAGAGAGAGAGACAGTGAGAGAAGGAACAACAAGCAGGGGGAGTGGGAGAGGGGGAAGCAGGCTTCCCGCGGAGCAGGGAGCCCGATGCGGGGCTTGATCCCAGGACTCGATCCCAGGACCCTGGGATCATGACCTGAGCTGAAGGCAGACACTTAACGACTGAGCCATCCAGGCGTCCCTGAAGAGACCTTTTAAATACAAGCCCCACCTTAATCTAGATTAGGGATCTGCAAACTATAGCGTGTGCACCAAAACTGCTTGCCACCTACTTTTATAAAGTTTTATCAGAACACAGCCACACTCATTCATTTATGGAGTATATGTTATCTCTGACTGCTTTTATGCTACAACATCAGAGGTCAGTAGTTGTAACAGAGACCAGATGGTCTGCAAAGCCTGAAATACTTACTCTTTGGTCCTTTACAGAAAAATTTTGCTGACCCCTAGTCCAGACCAACACTGTGCAATAGAAATATAATGCCAGCTGTATATGTGACTTAAGATTTTCTAGCAGCCACATTTAAAAAAGTGAAGAGAAACACATGAAATCAATTTTAATAATGTCTTATTTAACCTATGTCCAAAATGCTTATAATCAATATCAAAAGTTATTAATGAAATATTTTACATTCTTTTTTCATTCTAAGTCCTCAAAATCCGTTGTGTGTTTTACACTAATGGCACAGCTCAGTTCAGACCAGCTGCATTTTCGGTGCTCAGTAACCTCATGTGGCTAGTGGTTGCTGTATCAGACCGCCCAGGTCTGTACTCAGACCCTACGAGGACTGAGACCAGCACTAGATGTTGGAGGAGAGGTCAGCCTTGACAGGACCCTCAGGCTGTAGGCAAACAGTTGTTCCATAACTGACAGGGTAGTCCTCCCTCAGGGCTCTTGGCTCTTGCCCTCAGAAGATGGCCCAGCATAAAAAAAGGCACACTTACTTTTCTACTTGCAAAATGTGGCAACCTCCCCAAGTGTGTGCTGAGCCTGTACTTTCAGGATGAGGCATCCTCAGAGCACGCTGCATGGCTTGTGGTGGTTGAGGTCTTCTAATTTGGGGTCCTTTCCTTAGTGGCTAAAATCATCCAGGAGACAGATGATAGATGTGGGATGTCTGACATCCGTCACAGTCGGCATAACAAAGAAAAGACTACCCACTTACCTTGACCCGCCAGAGGTCAGAGGCCAGAAGAAACGTATTTAGCTAAATTTAGGCCTTGGTGAAATTTGAAGACTTCCAGGCCTTGTTTCTTATTCTCTTGGACCTCTGCCTTAGACCATATAGTCAGTTATGGGAATGTCTGGGAGTTTATCTTTCCCTTGGTATTTTTTCAGCTTACTTCTTTACTACTCATGAATAGAGAAGGGGTCCCACAGAATAAAATTTAAATGTTTCTCCTAGGGTATTTGGGGTTCCCTTGATCCTGCCTCAGTATATAGCCAACTCTTTCCCCCAGAACATTTAAACTCTTTTCTGCTTCAGGGCCTTTATTCAGGGTACACCTCTTATTTTGAAACCTTCCTGTTTTGTAAAGTGGCCTAACGTCCTTTATTCATAGTCTGTGGCATCCTCCTCTACTACTGATGGACGTGGCTTCGTGAACATTTATCCACTCAATATATATTTACTGAGCACCACTCTGTGCTAGGCAGTGTACTAGGCATGGAGATACAGTAGTGAAAATGATACGATCGTTGTCCATCAAGTGAGAGATGCAGACTCGCAGAACCACAATTCTGGTGCAGGGCGAGTTGTGCCATGACTTGCATATGGATGGAAGGGTCACCTGAAGGAAGTAAAATTGGGGGGAAGAGGGGAAGAAGGGAGAAACAGAAAGCTTCATGTCCTCAGGCTCAGTGCAGAGTGACCTGGTCATGTTTTGCTTTTGTTCCTGCAGACCAGAGCCCAGGAAGTCCTGCAGAAGCTGGGCGATGTGCAGGAAATATTTCACAAGAGGCAAATGAGTCTGATGAAACTGGCAGCCAGACAGACTCGCCCAGTGCAACCTGTGGCCCCCCATCCTGAGTCCTCCCCAAAATGGGTGTCACCGAAAACCAGCCAGCCCTGCACCTTAGGTAGGTTTTTTGTGGGGAGGAGTCTTTGTGCCCTTATGTTTCATCAGTGCTCATGAGGGTTGAGATTGTGTCTGTTTAAGATGCATAATGGTTGTTGTTTTGACAAATATTATTTAAAATAAACTATAGATATGGAATAGTACACACATTGAAGACTTTATAGAGTTAGATAAAACTGAGTACCTATGTACAAGGAGACACTCACAGTCTAGAGGAGGAATAATATAAATGTGCAAATAACATCAGCATGAAATAGACTCCATTAAGGACCTTTAAAATGCTCACAAGATTCTATTATCAGTCCAGTGGTAAAGTTGGTTCTTTGTAAAGATAAAAACAATAGATAAGTCCTTACACCAGTGCTGCATGGTCTTGATTATGAAAGCTTATTAGTAAGTCTTGAGATCAGGTAGTGTTAAGTCTTCCAACTTTGTTCTTTTCCAAATTATTTTGGCTATTTTAGGTTCTTTCCATTTCCATATAAATTTTAGAATCACTTTTTAATTTCTGCTGAGATTATGCTTTAGGTTGCACTAAGTTTATAAATCAGTTTGGGGAGAATTGTTATCATACCAATATCAAATCTTACAATTCATAAATGTTATAACTCTCTATTTATTTAGGTCTTCTCTAATTTCTCTTGGCAGTATAGAAGTTTTTTGGTTTTGGTTTTGGTTTGCTCTTTTTTAAAATTTTTATTTAAGTTCCAGTTAGTTAACATACAGTGTAATATCAGTTTCAGGTGTGCAATATAGTGATTCAGTACTTCCATACATCGCTCGGTGCTCATCAGAGCAAGTGCTCTCTTTAATCCCCATCACCTGTTTAACCCATCCCCTGACCACCCCCTCTGGTAACCGTCAGTTTGGTCTCTACAGCTTGAGTCTGTTTCTTGGTTTCCCTCTCTCTCGTTTTTTCCCCTTTGCTCATTTGATTTGTTTCCTAAATTTCACATACGAGTGAAATCATATGGTATTTGGCAGTATAGTAGGTTTGAGTGTAGAGGTCTTAGGCATTTCATGTTTTTTTTTAAACCATATTAAATGGAATTTACCATATTTAACTATCAATAGGAATATATTTCTGTATAAGATACAATCAGGTCAGCTGTGAATAGAGACCTTCTGTTTCAATCTTTATGCTTTTTTCCCCTTGCCTTAAATGGCCGAAACCTCCGGTACAGTGTTGAATAGATGTGGTGTCTGTGGTGAGAGCAGACATCCCTGTCTTTTCCCAATGTTAAGGCAAAGAGTTCCTTTTTTACCTTAAAGTATGATGTTAACAGTAAGTTTTTCACAGAGGCCTTTTATCAGATTGAGGAATTTCCCTTCTCTTCCTAGTTTGATGAGCGTTTTCATCATGAATGATTGTTGACTTTTTCAGATGCTCTTTTTGGTGCATCTATTGAAATGATTATATAGTTTTTCTCCTTTATTTGTTAATATGGTGGGTTACAATGATTTATTTTCAAGTGTTAAAACAATTGTACATTCCTGGGGTAAACAGCTCTTGGATATGTATATATGTTATTTGTTACTCTGTTATTTGAAACTCTGTTATTAAGCACATACATGTTCATAATTGTTATGTCTTCCAGATATTCTGGCCCTCTTCTAATTAGGAAACATCTTTCCTTCCCTCCTTATCTTTAGTAATACTCCTTGTCCTGAAGTCTATGTTGTCTGATATTAGTATAGCATTCCAGCTCTCTTATGTTTAGTGTTTGCATAATAGATTTTTTCCATTCTTCTATTTCTTTGTTTTTAAAGTATATCTCTTGTAAGATATGCTTATATTTGGGTCTTGACTTTTTTTTTAAAAAGATTTTATTTATTTGAGAGAGAGAGAGCATGCACAAAAGAGTGCATGGGAGGTGGGGGGGCAGAGGGAGAGGGAGAAGCAGGCTCCCTGCTGAGCAGGGAGCCCCAGGCAGGGCTCAGGGCTCAATCCCAGGATCCTGGGTTCATGACCCAAGTGGAAAGCAGAGGCTTAACTGACTGAGCCACCCAAGCACCCCAATTGGGTCTTTACTTTTTAATACATTCTGTTAACCTCTGCCTTCTGATTGGAGTATTTAGTCCATTTATATACAATGTAATTATTGATATAGTTGGATTTAGAGCTATAAGTTTGTTATTTGTTGTTTATTTTCTCATTTTTTCCCTCTGTTCCTCCTTTTCTGTCTTCTTTTGGGTTAGCAATTTTTTTTAGTGTTCTATTTAATTCTTATCATACCTCTTTGCATTGTTTTTCTCAGATATATGCTTATGTATAGTCTTTTATATTTTATATATAGTCTTTTACATCTACTCTCTTACTCAGTCATTTCCAGTGTTCTTTTTATTCCTTATTGTAGATCTGACACAAAGTCATTCTCTTCAGGCTAAAGAGCTTCCTATGCATTTCTTGTGCAGATCTGTTGACAAGAGATTCTTTTGGTTTTTATTTATCTGAAAATTATGGGGTCTTGGTAATTCTCCATTTCGTTTGGTTTACAGTTCCCTGTCGCCCATCACATATTGCACTTTTTAGAAGCAAGCCTTGATAAGAGTTTAGTGCATTTTTTTCTTGAATTTTCTGTGCACGCACACACACACACTCAACACACACAGCCATGCACACTCAATACACTTAGGCACACATCCTGCTCACACAAACAGATACTCACACACATAGAGACATCTTTTTGGATGGCTAGAAATAGGACTTGGTTCTCCTTAATCTCATTTAGGGCTCTTTCCCAAAACTAAATTATGTTCACTTCTGTGATTTTTCCTATGTCATTGTTTTAAGGGATATATGTTTGTTACAAGTAAATAAAGCAGGAATGATAGCTTGTTTCTCTCTCTCTTTTTATTCTTTTTTCACAAGATCTCATAATGGACAATGACCCTTCAGCATAAATAGATCTTTGTCATGTCTGAACAGGTATCATTGACTTTGGCCAGACATCTTGCTCATTTTGCAGAACAATTCTGCACTTTTGTTTTGGATAGTAACTGCTGAGTATGGATTCAGGCAAGTCACTAACAGGATTTTCAAACACATTTTATCTGATTCCTTAGTAACTGAGTCTGTTCCAAGATAAACCATTATATTTCACAGTGTAAGGAACATGAGGGAGCTGGAATCTTGGCTCTGACTCTTGTTAGCTGAGTGCCTTGGGTATACAACATTTAACCTCTCTGAAGTTTATAAGGAATGTGAAAAAATTCTTTTGTGGCTATAATAATAGCTAAAATGTACTGTTTACCATGATCTAAACACTTTGCATATATTAACTCATTAAGCCTCATAACAACCCTCTACTGTAGGCTTTCTCATATATCCACACTTCACAGATGAAGAAGCTAAGGCACAGAGATTACTCTGATAGATATGTGTCTTGTACATGGAAGAGCAAGACTTGAATGCCGGCAGTGTGGCTCCTTGCCCCGGCCTTGAACTTCATTGCTGTACTTACAGTGGGAAGGGTGGTGCTTCTCAGTCATGGGTGTTGCCAGTTATAATGTATGCACTCCTAGCATCTAGTTATTATGCCTAGAATCACTCAGCTTACAGGGATCTGGCAGAGAATGAGGAGCCCAAAGGATTGTTCATTGTTATGAAGTAGCTGCAGTGGTCATATAATAGGGACAGCAAACAGTGCACTTCACTACAGATTTCAATAATACCTGTGAAAAAGTCCATAGAAAGCCCAAGTGGATTCCAGTTGACTCACAGAACCTGAGGGTTGGGAAGAATCTCTGGAGGCCACTGTTCACCACAGATAAGAATCAGAGTGATATGTTGGGGGCATTAGGTGGATGGCATTTTGGCCATGGGACCTAGAAATGCTCAAATTCTTAGGTTGTTCACAGGTATCCCGTGACGTTTCCAAGGGAATTGTATATACAAGGGTGTTGACTGTGACAAGAACTCAAAGTACCATTTACTTATTAGTCTTTCAGCCAACATCCCCAGTGCAGCCCTCTGGTAATGCTGGGTTAGAAAGCCTCAAGGCCTAACCAGGGCTTCTCCTCCTCAAGTCCCATTCTTGTTGCCAAATGACCTTGGAGGCCTGAAGAAAGGATATCTCCCAGGTGTCGCAAGAGCTCTTTGGAAAGGAGGGGAGGGAGACAGAGAGAGGAGACCAAGAGCAAGACAGCCTAGTTCCATCGTGACTCAGCTAATTCATTCTTCACATAGTTGTCTCATCCACTAATGTGGTTCCATCAGTTCTGGAATCCAACTGTTAAGAGTAGCAACAATTTCTGGCTGGGGCAGACATAGATATCCTCTTATATAATCATAGTATGATTATGTGAGTGTGGGGGGGTTGCGTGTGTGTGTGTGTGTGTGTGTGCATAGAGAGACAGAGGGAGAGAACACTTTTAAGAAGACTGTAAGGAAATGGTTGTGTTGAAGTGGTAAGATTTTAGTATTTTTTAAATTTTGATAAGCACAAATTAACGACCTGTGTAATAAAAAATATATTCAATAAATGTAGTATCTAGAATTGAATCTGGTCTTCTAATCCAAGAGCAACATCAACTGCGGTGTTATATAGTACAAAGATGAATGCTAAAGCAGCAGTGCATAAAAGAATCCATGAAGTGTGACTGTCAAGGAAGACTTCTTAAAGAAAGGGACATTTTCGCTGAGTCCTAAAAATGGAAATGATGGAAATCCTCTCATTTTTACCACATTATGTTTACTGATTTGTTGTAGTTTGATGTTCCATGCGGTGTTGTGTGTGACTTTTGTCTCTTTGGATCAAATGTTAAATGCCTGGGGTCAAGGGCTGTTTCTTTTCTGCATCTCTCCTTCACCTCCAGTTTCATCTCCCACTCGGAAATCACCACAGCAGCTCAGTTAAGCTTTGTTATTCAGTTGGCCCAACCCAGTCCAGGTGCTCGTCCAAGCCAGGCTACACGCTCTGGGTTATTTATAAGCTGAGTTGCCAAATTAATGGCATATTTTCTTTGTCTCTCTAGCTCCTCTTCAGAGGACATCTGAGCAAACTTATACAGGGACATTGGAAAAGGAAGATGACGAGACTAAATTTGAAGTCAAAGTAAGATCACCTTTCTCTTTTACAGTTAGACATTTCTGATATGAGAGAATATTGTTGCCATAATTACCAATAAATGAAGTTCCCCTATCCCATACCTATCACAGCTCCACATGATGTGGCCATAAAGACATGTTGCACAGACTAATGCTCTCAAGGGCTGAGTTTTGTAGAATTTGTTCCTTTTCTTTCTTCTTAATTGCAACTAGAAAAACTGTTTGGTCATGGATGTAATTGTTGGTAGATATTATGTTATTGAGGGAAGAGTCATTTTGTGCATCCCTATACTCTGACTTCATATTTAAAATTGGTAGAACAGTGCGTGGTTTATGTACAAAAACCATGGCTGAATTGCATAGAGCTACACATGCTCATGTGCATGTACCACCGGTGAACTCTGAATAAACTGTGTAGATTGTGTGAACATAGTTTTCTTGCTTTTAATACTATGCTTTATTTTAGTAAGGTATTAATATTAGAGGAAGTTGGGGGAAGGATACATGAGACCTCCCTGTATGCTTCTTTGCAACCTTATGTGAATCCAAATTACTTCAAAATACAAGTTAAAAAAAAAAAAAGCATAAGCTTTGGAATCAGGCAGACCTGCATGGAAGCCACAGAAACCACTCTAAGCCTCCGTTTCTCATCTATAAAAACGGGCATAACAACAGCTATCATCTGAAACTAATTTTGAGCAGCAAATGGAAATTTGAAAAGTGCCAAGCACCGTATAATTGTAAAGTAACATTATATTTAAATACCCAAATAAAAAATACGTTGCCGCAAAAGCAATCCTAGAAGGGGTCCATTTCCCCCTGCCTCACTAAAAAGTGAGTATCTGGCTGATGGAACGGTTCTGAAAGCAGAAGCCGGTAGACCCTGGGTCACTTGCACTTGAGCAACAGTTTGGATCCACCATCTGTGCCTAATGGGTCTGAATAGAGGACCCCACCAGTATTCTGCCGACCATGTTGGAGTCAGGCAGAAAGCGGGTCTCAGACTTTTCTTCCTTGAGGCAGAAACAATGTGGCAAGTGGAGTTCCCAGCAGACTTTTCTTAGAGAGAGAAAGCTGCATTCCTCTGTTTGGTTATCCTTTCGTAGTTTAGGCAGACCAGGACATTGCTATCCCTGTTTCAGAATCCCCTGGGGTGGGAGAAATTGCTTTACCATGTCTTCCAGAGTTAAGTAACAGTCTGCAGTTTCACACAGTCATGATCAGCCATTTAAAAGAGTAAAGAGCAATTTTTTGAAATGGGCAAATGTAATGAAACTTCGCCAGACTTGACATCCATGAAGTCTGTGGAATTATTGGGTGACATAAAAAGGGCTTAACCGTGATCACCTTCAAAACTGAGCATCACCCTACCCATCTCTGTACCCTGGGCTTCAGAGAATCTCATCTCTAAAGGTGAGAGCCGTGTCAAGTGCACCAAAGCCCAGATCCAGCCCCTGAACTTATGTGCTGTTGCTATTAACCCACAAATCAAAGTGATTTGCACTTACCTCACAGCTCTCTGATTTTCTTTGCCCATCTTTAGACAACATATTTATGGCCTACACACTTTATAAAGAGGCCATAGGAGTTGTGTGTACATGCACGTTCTCATATGACAGAATCCAAATTCGAGTGAATTATTTCAATAAGTGTGAGTAATAAAAATGAGTGCTGCTGTTTTATTGTTGGGGGAAAAAAAGGAAATACAGTCAGTAAGCACAAAGCACATTTTCTCAGGGAAGACCTTAGGATATTTAAGATGAAAGCTTCTCATAAGCTACACTTATTATTTACTTTGATTTTATTTTTGGTAAATACAGACAATGCAGAAACTAGGGCAGGGGAAGAATCAGAGGCCTATAGCGTTGGCAGATGTTGAGTAGAATCCAAGAAGCTCTGACCACTAGACTTTTGGTTTCTTCTTTTTTTGTTCTTGCTGCTTATTTAATTCAGACTCCAGGCCCATCCTGCTAGGATGCTGGCTCCCTCGTATTTAGGCAGTCACCAACAGCATAGGTACTGGTAAGCCAGCACAAACCCATGTTACAGTTGTCCTGGGCTTTAGTTGTTGTTTTTCCTTATTGTGACTTCGTTTGTGTATTTAATGAAGGGCTTTTCCTGCAACAACATGTATGTTAACAGTCAAGGCAGTGGAGGAAGCATTTTGGCAAACCGAGGCTGGCCAGACTCTACTTCTAAACACCAAGGCTATGAAAAGTGTGAGCAGAATCCATGTAGTTGTGAATGACCATGAGTAGGAAGGAAGAGGGTTTTTGAACTAAATCCCCAAATCCTAGACTTAAAAATCAATTCAGGACCAATAAATGCCATTAGTGTTTGACAAGGTAGGTAGTATAACTAGGGAAATCGTCATTCCAAAATATGTAAGAAAACTAGTAAAAAAAAAAAAAAAAGGGTAGGTTAGAAAAAAAGGTTTAGATTCATGTCTGTGTGATTCATGGTTTATTAGAAGGAGGGCAGGGAGTTTGACTGACATCAAGAACAATCATAGCTGCTTGTGTTTTGTGGCCACTGTCCAGGACAGATGACCAGAATGCATAACATGTAACTCTAGTGACAATCCTGACATCCTTGACCTGAGGCCTAGACCGCAAAGATGAAATGAAATCACAGCGCAAATCATAACATTGTGATAAATGCCCCACCTTGCCTTCCTTGGGTAAATGCTCACAGACCAAAAAAAAAAAAAAAAGGAAATAAACCAAAACCACTCATGATTGCCACTACATTCACTGATACTCACTACAACAAAATTATGCTATGAATTTATCGTCATCAGGGAACTCATTTCCAAAAAAGGCGTCCTGTCTTCTCAGGTGGAGTAATCCTTGCTTCACTGGTTGGAAGGAGCATAAGCTGGCTGCGCTCTCCGGCTGTCTGGCAGCCATGCGGCCATGTGCTAGACTCACTGACGTGGTCTGGGAAAGCCCAGCCGTGGAGGAGATTCGCTGTGGTTGCTGGCAGTGGTGATGTGGCTGGTTCGGGTCCTTTATGTCACCAGCTGGAAGCTGAAAACATGACTCACAGGAGCTGCTTTCTCAGGCTGCTCGCATCACAGCCTCTTCAGAACTGGAAAGAGGCCAGAGGCTGATGAAAATTCCTTTTTCATGAATGTGAACCCTCATGATAGAGGCCGAGATACTGGCTGTGAGCACCAACAAAGTATTCTTGGGCACCTGTTAATGTGGCTTTAGCATAGCAGAGGACTTTTTAGGCTTGCAAGCAAACAGCCTCCTTCATAAAAATTAAAGGAAAAAAAAAAAAGCCAAGGCAGTAAGTTACAGAATGGGGAGGTGAGGGAAAGGTTGCTAACACTGATGAGGCCCAGACATTGTGCTGTGTGCTCTATGTACCCGATTTCATCAATACCTTGGGGAAGAAGAGGAGGAAGCTGATGTTTCCCTTTTTTTATCCATGATGCTGTTGAGACTCTGAGAAGTTAAGTAAGTTTCCCTAAGGGTCACACAACTAGTAAATGGTGGAATGGGGATTTGAAACTTGTAGTTTATTTAATCTAACAGTTTACTTATCTATCTAACTTAATCTGTTTACCTATAACCTATTAGTTACTTAGTCTGCCTAACTATCAGTTGACTTAATCTCTCATACTCTAAATTTCCTCTTCTGCAAAATGGGGATAAAGCAACCTCACAGGTGGTTGATTAAATGAGAACTATATGACTTCAATAACAATGATAATGTTAACAAATCAAAATAAAAATATTTAAAAAATGAGAATATATGGGGAGTACCTAGCATGATGCCTCATATATAGCAGGTTCTTAGTAATTTTAGTTTCCCATTTAATCCCATGTGTATAGACAGAATGTTCTGTGTAAAAGATGAAAAGTAGCTGAAGGATGGTCAGATTCAGGTCTTAAATTGAATAGCTTCTCCTAATCTTGAATGTGTACTGTTTTGCCAAATGATAGCTGATCAGGCCCAAACTCAGTTCCTTGTTTTCTCACGCCTTTGAATCCCCAAAGCTTTCATTTACCTCTGATTCTCAACAGGAGAACTATATAAACTATAAGCACATTTCAGTGTTCACCCTCTATGATGCTTGAAGTCTGGTCATTCAGAAAATCCACCAAATCTTTGAGGCAGCCGCCATCTAAGCTTTTTGAAGAATTTCTAGAACCAAGATTAGCAAGGTTTCCTATGTATTGCAGCCCTGAGAAACTTATTAATAATGCAGATTCTCAATCTCTACCCTCAGATTGTGATTCAGGAGGGCCAGAATATGGTCCAAGAATCTGAATTTTTAACTTTTAAATTTAAAATTTTTGATTTGGTAACTAGAATGCAGGTGGTATAAGGACTGCATTTTTGGTCACACTGGCCCAGAAGCTATAGTCATAGTTCATAAAGACCTGGGATAAAGGAGAGCTCATTAAGGTGGATATAGAACTCTTAGGCTAATATAGAGTCCAGAACTTAGTGAAGTAAGGGTGTGATTATATTAATCTATCAGAATGTACTTTCACTGAAGGAGCTATATGAAAAAGGAGAGAATAACAGTTAAGACCACTGTTGACTTTGCTCTTTGACCAATAAAAAACTGAGATGACTAAAATATTTCATTGGTCCAACCTGGGTGTCTTATTCAGCTCCATTTAATATATATTAAAGCAATTGCTATGGGTCATATGGAAACGATTCTAACATGGGGCCTGAACTCAGGAAACTTACAAGTTTCATGAGCGAAACTACATATTTCAAATATTATAATGTAGAGAAGAATGACATACCTCCAGTAAAAGGAATATAACATGTTAGAAGGCAGAAGAGGGAACAGTTCCTAACAATGATATTGGGGATATTTTATAAAAGAGATGGCATTTGGACTTAACTTTGAAAAATAAATACAACTTTGAAAGGTGGATAAGACAGAGAAGGGCAGTCAAGATGGGGAAGGATGTAAAGTCTCCAAAGTCTGAAGGGGCATAGGCCATTCCGAGAATGGTTCGAGAAAGCCAGAGAGGT